AAAAAAAAAAAAAAAAAAGAAAATCCCATCACGCTAGTCGCTACGATGCAAAATGTCTATTCCAATTTCCCATCGTATAAGCAAAGAAAATCAGCTAAATCAAAGGACACGAAAGTAAAACACAAAAACACTCGTCAAACCCTATCTTCTTCCTTTCCCTTCCCTTTCTCTCCCCTCCTCCAAACCCCAATCTGAATTTCAGTTTTCCACTAAACCTAGAGGACGATTTAGATGGATTTCAGTTCGAATTTCTGGAATTTTGTTTCCTAAAATTTCAACTGGTTCTGGTGATTCCCCGTTCTATAACCAAAGCTACACAATCGATTTCCCATCAAAGGAATAAGGTTTGTTCGAGGCAATCATGGAAGGCTCGGCGCCGGCGTCTTCATCGGCTTCGGCTGAGGACGGTCCTGAGTCGTGGGAGGTTGCTGATGTGGAGGCCAGCATGCACCGCCTCATGCTTTCTTCCAAGAAGGATACTTTTACTAGCAGTAATAAGCAGGACGAGATGTCCGAGGTCTATGGTTCGGGATCCAATCAGGGTTCGAGTTTTAATTTGGGTTCGGGCATGTCGGAAGATTTGATTAACACAGTGGATCAGTTTCTGCGGGAAGCTATACAGAATCCTCGTGAGCGCTTATCGGGTGTGTTATTTTAATCTCATATCAATATGTGTCATTCATTCTGATTTACTAGTTATGGTATAAATTAGGGTTTTACAATTGGCCCAGCAGGACTTAGTTTACTGAATCTGATATGGACCAGTGGCTGATGTGTTTCTCTTATTGATTTTCTCAATGAGGAATGTAACTGGAACTTTCTAGTGATTGTTGATAAGTTATGTGTATGTTAACTGGAACCTTGTCGTGGAATAGACATTTTGCCATTGATATAGATAATAGATGAAACTATTTAGTTGTATACTATTTTGAACTGTAAGTGCTGAAAAGCGTACGCAGGCGAAAGCAAAATCCAAAGACTGTGGAGAAGAGTATTCACTTGAGTATTAATGTTAATATATCCCTGTACACGGACAGAGGACTGGGCAACATCAAATTGAAGTTGTGGAAAAATTGTTTACACCTGAATGAAAATTTGGGGAAGAAGATGAAAAGAAAAGGGATGTCGGGTTGGTTAGATACAAAAAACATTTATCCAAAGCTGATTCTGCTCGTTTATGTTCAAAAGTATGGTGCCACTTAGGGAAAACATTAAACGAAAGTAGTGTAGCAATAATTTATCACACATACTAAGAACTTACTCTGATTACAGCTTGGTGATTAAGAATATACTGATATAAAATAATCAGATTAGACCCCAGTGTTAGCGAAAGTCACGTTACACATTTCATTACAGTTTATCAATATTTTTGGGCCTCTTGAGCTACCGTTGTAACACCAGAAATTATGATTTGAATGATTGTTTTTTTAATCTCTTTTTAACTATTCGATTCTAGTACTTTTATAGAAACCTTGGATGGAATTGCATCATCTTTTATATGTATAATGTGTCTCCCATTTTATGACTGAAACTTCCAATCTCTCGGTTCCACTTTAATTTGAAAAAGAACAGAGTTATGTAGACATATTTTTAGTACTTCTTTTCTTGTAAGAGTTCTACTTATGAGGGAAAGAATGTACGACTATCTGTTTAATTATTCCAACTTTCGAAACGCTATATTGGTTGACTATTAGTTCATGTGAAACTTCTAAATCACTGCATCCGAGCAGTACCATTGAATGACGAATCGGCTAATTTCACAAATAAATTAAGTATTTAACATGACTGCGTAAATGATGGTAAAGTTCATGGCTTCGTACCAGATTAATACCACCAAGCATCTGTTTTCGATTTTCTTTCTTTCCTTTTTTTTATATTTTTTATTTTTGGTGAATGGACTTCATCCTGTACTAAATTATGATATTGCATGCATGTTCAGTGTTGCGAATGGAGCAGGATGTGGAGAAGTTCATACGGGATCCTACTAGGGAACAGATGGAGTTCCAACAGCTGCCTACTTCTTACTTGCGCTTGGCTGCACATCGTGTGGCACAACATTACTCATTGCAATCCATGGTTTTATTGGATAATAACCTGCCTGACGGGTCGGGTTCCCGTATAATTGTTCGGAAGACGTCAAACATCAGGATTCCTTTGGTTCGTCTTGCCGACATTCCCGTAAATTTACCTACTGAAGAGAATAATGCTATAAAGGTTGCAATCAAGCAGAGGCCTCATAAGGGATTTCATAGTAATAGCAATTTAAATGCGAATCCTGCAAAATCAAACAGTTCCAAAAGTGTGGAGGAAAGGAAGGAGGAGTACAATAAGGCTCGAGCAAGGATTTTTAGCTCCACTAATTCTAGTGGAAGTTCCAATGGGAAATCTGTGAGTGATCCCAGGATTCAGGATAGTATTCAGCATGGTTCTGTACGAACGCCAAAGGCAGAAGAGAGAATATCTCCTAGTCCAGGCAGTGGATCTAATGTCACCATAGGCAGAAGTTTGTCTGATTCTTCTACATCGAGCAGTAGGTTAATTAGAAGTAGGATAGAGAAGGAGCCTGTTGCAAGACCGAAAATGAATAATAGAGTGGCTATCTTTCGGGATCGTGAAGTTGATCGTAAAGATCCTGACTATGACAGAAGCTATGACAGGTATACTCTACTCCTGTTCTCTCCATTCTTTAGTTTTTTTCCAGTTCCTGTTTTCTAAATGCAACACAAAACACTCATTTGATCTTTAGTCTTGTATAATGTATATAATTTATGTTCTGTTTCAATATATTGTTTCTCTGCTTGCAATTTCATTTTTGTGTGAGCATGGATATGGTATCAAACTGATTGGTTGTAAGGATTGGCCCGCTGTTTCAATTTCAATTACCTTGTATTGGGTCAGAACTGACAAGGAATAGGTTGCAAACTGGGTTTTCCCATGGAACTAACCACAATTCTTTGTGAATTAACAACTGAAACAATATTCTCTTAAATATTTTTCACAGATACATGCAGAGGTTTGATCCTGGCTTCGGGTTTAGTGGATGCCCATACCCTATCCAGCCCATGTATGCTCCTGCTATTAACTACAACACTGAATTTCCACAGCTTGGAGCAAGTCATAGGCTGCCTATTTCCACTGAACATCAAACTCGGCCTCTTCCCCAACATCTGCCTGGCCCATGGATTGCTCCCTCGCCTCCTGCTGGTATTGGGTATGGTCCCACCGAAGGCATGCTGTCTCCATTTACTACTGGTCATGTTGGTCCACACTCAAACTCTAGTCTCTACTTGCACTCTGCTCAGTATCCTTGTCAAACAACTGGATTACCGTATATACAGCGTCCTGAACCAATTCACCAGCCTTTTCCACAGGTATGGTATGCAACATGCATTTTATATTTCAATACGAAGATGAATTAAAAATGATGATTACTATGTTTCCCCTATCGTTTTATAACCATAATTATCGCATGAATATTTTGTCACAGATGAGCGTATATGCATTGGTGTCATTTCATGACGCATGTTTCATGTAAACCTTTTTTATTTTCCTTGTGTTACTGCGGCTCACACCAGTCATTTGGTCACCTTCTTTCCATTCTATTCTACTTTGCATTTCCATTTAAAAAAGTTTCTGCATTTGAAAACCTGTTAACATGATAATGCTTTTAATGTTTGACCTGAAGAGTTACTATATGCGGAAGAATTTTTTTTGGATTAAACTGAAATTTATTGCCCACTTTCTTATTAGCTATTTGTTTTTCCAGTCTCATCAGCAGCAAGCCGATTCAAGTTTTGGAGTAGCCCGGCCCCGATGAGGGGCTGGGCAGTGCCTGCACCCTGGCATGGGGCTTGGTCTGATGGTGGCTGCTAGGGAAGCATTTTGGTCCCCATTGTGTAGGGTGCAGGCATAAGAAAACTGAGGACATGCTGGATGGGTGGTACTCAATCTTGTATTCTGTGGCCCACCCAGCTATCCTCAGTTGGAATACAGCTCTGTTTCTGGACAAGAGCTTTATGACAGTAACAGTGCAGAAAAGTGACTGTGCGTGTGTTCCCTAGGGCTTTCTGCCTTGTTACTGGTACGAAGATGATGATGATGATGATGAAAATTATAACAGGAAGAGGAAAATCTTGGATTTCCAGTTTCAAGCATAGGTATCTTCGTCACCTTATCAACTTTGTTTATTTATTCCTTTATATTTTTATATGCTCCCTCCACTCTGGAAATATGGGATAGATTTCTGTTTTGATGCTCCAAAAGAAAATCTTATTGCCTTAAAGATTTTGACAACCACGAGAATAGAGTCAATTTACATGACAACCAAATGATTTTAAATACACGCCTATGTTTTCAGTGCGGAAAGTTTTGTTTGTCAAGTATGAGCTCATGCTGTGATATATAGAAAACACGCACACATTATTATTATTATTATTATTATTATTATTATTATTTGTTGCAGCTCCAGTGGATCAGGCAAGAATATGCAGAATGGAGGATATCTCTCTGTGCCAGCCTTGAGGGCAAATAGTGCCTTGCTAACTTGACCTGATTCCAGCTCTGATTACAGCTCTGATTATTCAGAGTCCTTTGAAAGTTTGTGTTTGATCTGTTGTATTTAATCAAAGTTAATTATGTCAACTATTCAACTCTTTTCTCTGGATGATGATTGTTGCCTGATTCATATTTTCACTATCATGCTAAAAGTTTGCAAAAACATCTTGCAATGCTGTCTGTCGGAATGTAAAGGCAACGATAGTTGTAATATGTGAACACTGCTCTGGTTTGAGTAAAAGTGGTTATGGCCAAGAGTATGGTCAGAAAGATGTTAAAGAATGTTCTGTTCTGTGGGGCTCTAAATAAGGGTTGTTATCGAACCGAACCGAGCTTAAGGTTTTTGAGCTCGAGTTCGACTAATTTTCGAACATGTTCATGTTTGTTCGTTTATTATTCAAACAAAAAATTTCATTCGTGTTCGTTTGTTTATTGGTTAGACTAAGCGAACTTGTTCGTGAATTGTTCGACAAGTTCGTATTCGTGTTTGTTGATTTTTTTTAATATTAATACCATTCAATTTATTTTATTTAATTTTAATATATATCCAGATTTATATATTATATTATGTATGTATATACTATATATAAAATAAATTATAAAATATTTATTTGTTTGTGAACTCGTTCGATCAAGTATACATGTTCGAGTTCAGTTTGATTATAGTCCAACAACAGTTGGTGATATAAAGATTGAACAAATGTCGTGTATACATTGTGGTGCAATGCGATTTGAATACATATATCTTACATTTTAGTTTATTGTGTGGAAACAGAAAATGGATTGGAGAATTGAATTAACTATATTTCAAAACTCCTATTTTATATGAATGATGAATCCACGGTAAACAAACTCGTGAGTTTTAGAAGCAAAAACATATCAAAAAAGTTCTTCATGTGCGATATACTGTCATTTACAAGGTTTACAAAATTTAGTTTTGGCATAATAATGTTTATAGAATAAACATTAATTTTATCTTCTTCTATAGTTCAACAAAATCTTGAAGATACAATTTTTTGGAAATTTCACACACACACACACACATGTATTAGGGTGCTCGTTAAAATATAGGAAATGACTGCAGTGTCGTCACAGAATGATTTCGTCAGTGTGTTTTTACTATGAATTATCTACCTTACACTAATCTACATGTGTATCTGTAGGTTAATAATAACTATGGAATTATTCCGTGACGGAACTGTAGTGATTCCGGTAAAATATAACACCGTAAACATTATAATTCATATTTCCTAAAATACTTGAATACTTGGGCTTTCATTGACTAACTATCTAGACTGGAATTTTTACCATCGGTTCACACATAGGCGTGCGAGTGTATATTGATATGACGATAAAAAAAATTCCGATATGGGAAGGTAGGAGTCGAGAGACGAGCATGAAAGAGCATGCAATTGACAACCTCACTTCTTACCTTTGCCCAAACACGTTTGTGGTGGGCATAAATTGTCTTTTGTGCCTATGAATGAATGAATCTTCTTACTCTTCTTCTTTCCATCATGTACATTACCAAGCTCAAACACATGTTTGTGGTAGGCTTACAATGTCTTTTGTGCCCATCAATCTTCTTACTCTTCCCATGTACACTAACATTCCAACTGTCCCCCGTCTTAATTCACACTAAAAAGCAAAGTCCACGTGCTATATGGCCTTGAGAAACAAGTTTTCACACTTTAGGACAAAAAAGATACAACAGCTAAAGCGTGTTGTACGTTTCTTTTAGCATGAACAAAGAAGTAATGAAATTAGGCTTCACGCATAGTTTGTTAAAATTTATAGGCAGAAGTGCTTCAACTCGTGTGCTGATGATGAATTACAGAATTAGTTTATGCTTTGGACCATATATATATATATATAGTTCCCTCAAATTGGTGTAACTTAATTAATATTCTCACAATTCGGGAACTGTATTCTTCCAAGTGGCAAACAATTAAACCTTGTTTCATCAGGTTAGTTTCAAGTTCAAAATAAATTATATAGGCAATGTTGTAGTTTTCAAGTTCATTCATTAGATTCTTGATGAAGTTTTCACCTATATTCATATTCAACTCATCGATTTTTTTTTTTTTTTAAACAATTTCGATTGTCAAGATTCGGAGAGTAGCACAAATGTGCGGTTAAATTGTAAGATTCTTATGAAAAGAATTATCTTCTCCTTCATATAACATAAAGATATAAATTCTCTAAAGACTTGCTCAACGTGTAATTCAAACTTGAAAAAAAATATATTAAATGAATAGCCTTGTAAGCAAACCTGAACTACATCTTGTTCGTAAATGTTCGGTTCGTTTGTGACCTACTCATATTTGACTCCCTCTCCCTCTCTCTTTCTCACACACATTGATAAAACTATTTCTTGGTGTATTTGCAAGTCCGGACAAAAATGGAGATGGAGAAGGAGAACTCGGAGCTCTACATGGAAAACTACCAAATGATGTGCGAAAACGAAAGGCTGCGCAAGGAAGCTAAACGGCTCAACCAGGAGAATCTAAAATTGCTGTCTGAGTTAAAACAGCAGCTCATGGAAGCAAAAGCCAGACAACAAATGGGTGAGATACAAGTCAAACTCAGTTCCACTTCAGGGACAAGCCACAAGAAGATTGCTAAACCTCACCCTCAGAAACACAACTAAAAAAAAAAAAGACCAGAGAACTAATGAAGCTTCAGTGATAGTGTTCTACATATTCATGCAAAAACAGCCTATGAGCCTATAAATGTTTTTCAAGTTTAATCTTTCATTTGTGTAATTTTTCAGAAATTGAATAAAAGTCGTGTTCTAGAAAACATGTGCCCAATTACAAATACAGTAGGCTTAGACATCTTTTGTTTTTCAGAGTACAACATAACAGTGAGAGACCTGAACTGGGTCTTGAGGCTACTCTACAAAAGGTTGTCGTCGAATTTCACGACTACTATATGCCATGTGTGGTGAAAGTAGTTTTTGAAGGAAGCAAAAAAACTGAGTAACTAGAACTAAAACCTGCATACCCATGTATGTACCAGATATTGTACGAGGAAATAGAGAAGGCCCTATAAGGCAAGACTTAAAAAATAAAAATACAAGTCTATATTGACATTCAAGATTGATCTAGAGGATAAACAGTTAATGCACTTCAGAAAACCCATAACACCTAAAGCAATAGGATACATTTACTGCAATTGTCTCACAAGAGAGTGGTATGAGGTATGAGACAGCTCTTAAGAATGAAATGTTGATCTCAAGTAAGATACTACAAAATTAGTAATCAATCAGCACTTTCAATAGCTTACCAAAATCATTTTACCCCCCATCTTTGTAGTTAGCAAACGCTTAATTGGAATCCCCAACACACAAATGTTGAAGAATTAGCAAAAAGCATAAGTCGGGATTATTGACCGAACACGACTCATGTCCTATATTGACCAATTCATCCTAAAACTTTGTGGCATCACTCACAAAGAATTTGAATGGACATTGAAAAGTTAAGATGCTCGTTGGTGCTAGCTATGAGAGCTGTACCTAATTAATGCAAACTCTGCTTAGTGCTTACACAACAGGAGATAAGACTCACCCTCAAAACGAAAACCAAGCTAAGTCCTCTGAATTAATAGCTTAACTACAAACAGAACCGAGGTAAGGGTGGGTTCAAATCTATAAAGCTGGTTCTACCTCACCATCACATTTGCACGGTGCTTTGGCATTTGATTGGAATAAACGAGTACACGTAAAATAAGCTGTTTTCAAATCTATAAAGCTGGTTCTACCTCACCATCACATTTGCACGGTGCTTTGGCATTTGATTGGAATAAACGAGTACACGTAAAATAAGCTGTTCAAGATTTTTCAAAGCCAAAGACCTAAAATGCACCAAAACAGCACCTAGCTCTTTCGGAAAATCAACAAAAAGACAAAACATACACAAAAATGAAAGCAAACTAAGCAAGGGTTCATGAAAATCCGTTCCATTCACAGCCAAAGTCCCAATCAACAGCTAGCTATTATAAACTAACTAAACTTTCAATTCTGTGATCAATCCTCTAAACCAAAACAAGGAAGAATTTTTAATAGTCTTTTTTACTCACAGCTGAAATTTGCAGATAAGAAAAGACAGGACACCAATAACCAACACCAATGCTGAGCCCTCAGAAGCTTTCGTTCAGGTCTTGTACACTCGCATTCTCAACTAAAATATCACAAGCAGCGAAAAAAGCATGTAAATCAAGAAGCAAGCATACGTGATTAGCCCCCTGTGCTCCTCCCCGCAGTTAGCCAGCTCCACCACTAATCCCGTGCAGACTCGCGTAGACCAGATCACAAACAGACCTGTTATCACCATGATCACCATCCCACCTTGCGGCAAGAAAAGAGAGACCGCAGACAACATCACAATTGGGAGCATACAGTAACCGATCAAGCTGAGACACTTGTACATATCCAGATTCCCATTCCTCCCCGCGAGCATATTGAAGACGACGTACAGAAACATGGACGCCATCGTCACCCATCCCAAGATAATTCCAAAATGAAGCTTCCCGGCGAGGAGCTGAAACAATCCAAAAGCCATGAGGAAGAGAAAAGGTCCAGAGAGATCGGCGTCCTCGTGGAGGTGATAATTGATCCTGAAAGGGTTGACGATCGAGAGGGTTTTCTGGTAGATTTGCTTGGTATTGATGCCGAGTTCTTCGAGGAGCGGCGGCTCGTCCTCGAACCCGGTGGAGCCACCGCCGCCGATAGTGGAGGGGAACTGAGGGGCGGCGGAGAAGGAGGTGGACGCGGCGGCGGAATTAACGTCGAACGAGAGGAAAGGGAGGCCGGGGCTTGAGGCTCTCGGGGGTTGAAAGGGGGCGGTGGGGAAGCGGCGCTGCTGCGAGCCGCCGGGGGATGGCGCGGCAGCATTCCTGCCGGTGGGGAAAACCACAGGCGGCACGTTCGCCATGGATCGCAGACAGATCTAATCTGGGAGCAGTGAAAGATTGATCGCGTTTAGACTATGTTTGGCCAAGGGAAATCAGACTGAAGGGATTTTAACAGGAGGGTAAGCAAAGGGACTTTAATAAGTACCGTAAAATAGTTTGGGATTATTTTTTTTTTTTATTATTTTTTCATCCCTTTAACTTTTACTAGTACAGATCCCGTGCGATGCACGGGGTGCAAAAAATTAAGGTCATTTATCAAGTCTTGTAATTATATAAATGAATAAAGAAAAATGTACGGGATATATATAGTACGTGACCTGTAATAGGCCAAAATGTGAACATGGGTGATGCACGGGATACACAATTTTAAAGTCATTTATTAGTACAGAGTCGGTGCGATGCACATGGTGCACAATTTTCTAGTATGTGTAATACAAATACATACCATATGCACGAGACAGAAGCACTAAATGAGTTATTTCCACAGAGCTTGCCCGTTAAGTAGCTCATGAACACGGGTGCACAATTTGTAGTACGTACTATAAAATCGGAACAGATTTCCATACAATTAGATAATAAATAAAGCCTTTTTATTTTAGTAAAGATTTTACTTACTTTTTTTTACTTATCGGATGTTATAGGATTTTTTTTTTTGTTAAACAAATACAATTAGAGGATTGAACAAAATTAGAAAAGATTTATATATAATTAGATAATAAGAAGGAATTAGATAAGGAAAAGAAGAAATTAGATAATGAATTTTGAATCTACCTTTTATTTAGTATAGATAGACTTTACGTACAAATTTAGACTTCACCGATTTTATGAGATTTGTTTTGACAAAATCAAAGACGAACACTGAAGACTGTTTCTATTAACATTTACACTGTGTATTTAATGTTTTTTTTTTTGGCAAAATATTCTTTTTAAGTGTGATATATAAATATTAAAAATACTTAAAATATTTTATAACATCTATAAAAGCATCTAAAATATTATATATTATTCACAAATAATGTTTGAAGCTACCTAAATTTTTTTAAACTACCCGTAAGAAAAATATGTATAAAAATTATTCATTTAACCTCCATATATGTATATATAGAGAGAGAGCAAATGTGTAAAAAATTTATACAAATAATATTTAAAAGTATCTAAAATATTAGTAATTAGACAAGTGAAATTTAGATTTTTAAAAAATCTATATAGATAATGGATTTATAGTAGTAATTAGACTTTTATTTATTTGCCTTTAAAGTTGTTACGATAGAGGGATGTGATTTCTTTGACTCGTGGAGATGGAATTTTATAAGCTGGGTTATGAAATTTTTCTTAAACTCATCCATATATATGCGATGAGTTTTTTAAGCTGGGTATATAGATTTAAAATTGTAAAAAAAACAAAAAAACAAAAAAAAATTTCATAAATCATTTGATTCGTATTTTCGGAGAGCTTAATTAAATTAAAAGTGTAAAATAAATAAATAAAAAAGTACAACTGAAAAAGTTATAACCAATTGTATGGAGAATTAAACTAAATCCAATTTTGTAGGATGCATTAAATATTGATTAGATTTTATATGTAAAATAAAATAAAAAATAACTGGAATAGTTTTACGTGTTGCAATATTTTACATTTAAAAAAATTAAAAAATCTTCTTTTACGTATTGCATACCAACATTTTAGGAAATACATGGATATTTCTAAATTAATATTGCATACCCAATATTTTAGAAACTAATTAAATGCTAATTTGATTTGCATACCAAAAATATTAGATGCATTAATTAAATGCTTGATAAAAATAGTAAATTCATTAATTAGGGTTGACTATTCTACATACTACATTTAGTAAATAGTATAACTTTTAATATAAGTATAGATTTTTTATTTTTTATTTTTTACTTCAAAAAAATGCAAAGTTTATGCAAATGATACACATAATTGTTGGAAATCAGTCGCATATATGTTAGATATTTAGTGTGAACATTGAAACGAATGCCTTGGCATTTGTAGCCTTCGCACAATTATACTATAATGTTTTTGTAGTTTCTGGAGTGAAACAGTCAACTTATAATCTAAGTTTGTGAAAAACTTAATCAATCTTTAGAACAAAGTTATTCAATCTTCGGAAAAAATATGATCCATTGGTTCTGGCTCTTCTCCACAACATTTACAAGTGCAATCTATCTTCAATCCGCTGATCAACAAGTTATGGTTAGAGGGAAGAATATTAGAGAAGCATCTCTAGAGGAAGTTCTTGAAATTGCCCTTGATTTTAGTTTATAGCTCTTCTTTGTTGCAACATTTAACCAAGTTATGGTTAGAGGGAAGAATATTAGAGAAGCATTTCTAGAGGAAGTTCTTAAAATTGCCCTTGATTTTAGTTTATAGCTCTTCTTTGTTGCACCATTTAACCGTGTATGGTCATTGCTTCCTGTTGTTGCATCAACGTCTCTCACTTCATCGATGATCAAGTGGTGGTAAAGGAAGAAACTGAAAATGAGCCATGCTTTTCCAGATCCCACACCAACCTATCAACCTATCAGGCTTGTTGTAGTGAAGGGCATTGATTTTTTGGATGGTTCTGCGCAAAGGCTCATTGACATTACAGGTTACAACATTTGAGTCCCATAACTGACCCCCCTTCAGCAATAAGATCACTAACTCATGCACCTCCAGCGTCCTTAGATCTAAAGAATATGCAAGTAACGAATATTTCTCCACAAAAAAAAGAATGTCATGAGACGACAAAGAATGTCAGGAGACTCATCGTCTCAATGAATCGTAATAATTGTACTTGATCACCAACAAGAGTATGAATTAACTTATATACATGGGGTCAAAAATATGACTCCTAATTATCATGTCTCTCTAAAAAAGAACGATTTTTGCCTCATTGAGGGGTCATCAAGGCCTCCAGGCTCTGAGGTGTGCCACACAAGTGAACAGCACCATTTGGTCGTCACCAACTTGCTACCATCGACATCACGCTTTGGAAAATGGGTAAATGTACAATGATTAGCTAATTCTTCTATTAGTATAGATAATGCATTAAGAATTTGATATCATTTATGTCGAAAGATCATTGTATTCATTGTGTGGAATAATAATAAGACATCCAGAAATGTACAGTCAATGAGAAGAAAGTTGCACGAAAACAATGGCGGGATAATGCATTCAACTAATGGCTGACTTCAATAGTTGGCAATTATTTGTCATCCATTTAATAACAAAATGCCTACACAAACATGGAAAGGAGCAAACACATGTCCGAAAAGTAAAATTTCTGCAAGGAAATGATTTCACTCTAAACACAAAGCAACGCAAAGGCTCACAACATAAATCGAGTAAAAATAGCCCGAGTAATTCAAAACTCAAAAATCAGCCCTCTACGCTTACTTAGGAAGACCCGTTTCAGGGTTAATAAGAGATCGAATTTGATCGGTTAACACTGTTGGACCTCTCCCAGGCCTTGTGCAGATAAAGTAGCTAACATCACCTCGGTTTCTGTGGGTTGATAGATTGTTATCCTTGATTTCAGAAGGTGGCGACAAAGCATCCACATCCTTCATCTCGTTAATCCCCGCATCTTTTAGTATCGTTTTGTCACCAATAACATAACTGAGAGAGAGAGAGAGAGAGAGAGAGAGAGAGAGAGAGAGAGAGAGAG